TTCACGCGAATTACACGAGATTCCCAATTTCTGTAATTTTAAATGTTCTATAATTTTCCTCTATTCATTCCCACGCAGAATGTTCAAACAGCCATCTAAATTCCCCTCCAATATGCCGAACCCTACGCATATCTCATTTTCATCAAGTTCCTATATCCTCGGATGTCTTCCTTGATTGTCCAAAAAGCAAAAACCATAAACCTCGTATTTAACCCCATATTCATCCTAATTACAGTGCCATGCGCCGTGGGAACGTATTACGACGAAGAAACGAAACAATGTCTGTCCTGTCCAGTGGGAAGCTACCAGAGCGAATCAGGTCAACTGAAATGCAGTTCCTGTCCGGTGATAGCAGGACGTCCTAGCGTAACGGTGGGACCAGGTGCTCGAAGCGCAGCCGATTGCAAGGAACAATGTCCCGCGGGAAAATACTACGACGACCTGGCTGGTCTTTGTCGAAGTTGTGGCCATGGTTTCTATCAACCTAACGAGGGTAGTTTCTCGTGTTTGTTGTGCGGCCTGGGAAAAACTACCAGAACAGCGGAAGCTGTGTCTCGAGAAGAATGCAGAGACGAGTGTGGCTCTGGACAGCAATTGGCTGTCGAAGGAAAATGCGAACCCTGCCCAAGAGGAAGTTACAGAACTCAGGGAGTTCAAGCTGCCTGTCAGGCGTGTCCCGTTGGCAGAACGACACCGAATATGGGTTCTGCGGCGATAGAAGAATGTTCTCTGCCCGTATGCGAACCTGGAACGTATTTGAACGGAACGCTGAACGAATGTATGGAGTGCAAGAAGGGAACGTATCAGTCGGAGCCGCAGCAGACCTTCTGCATACCTTGTCCTCCTAATACTAGTACCAAAGGAACAGCTGCGGTAAGTTTCGTTTTCTGTGTAACTGTGACTTTTAACATTTACGGTAACATTACGGTTTAACATAGAATTCGGTTCGTTCAAACTTTTCTTAGTACCGTAAATTCTAATATAATTTTTATTCTTTACAAATTTCAAAATTTTTTAAAAATTCGAGTTTCTGAGTATTTCAGAATCGTTAACTTCTCGACTTTGAAAGACTCGAAATTCTTAATTTTGAATTTTCGAAGATTTCAGAATGTTCAACCCTTAAGTTTCTAAGCGTTTCGGAATTTTTAATAAGTAGAGTACAGAGTGAAATACGGTCGATAGAAATATAATACCATGTCCCGATAACTGATCGACAGAGTTAATTCGGTATTTTTAATGAAAATGTTTTGCTTCTTTTTTTTAAATTAGACCAGCAAAGCTGATTGTACTAACCCATGCGAGACAAGCGACGCGGAAATGCACTGCGACGCGAACGCGTATTGCTTGCTGATACCGGAAACGAGCGACTTTAAATGCGAGTGCAAGCCAGGATATAATGGAACCGGAACCGAGTGCACCGATGTCTGCATGGGCTACTGCGATAACGAAGGAGTATGTCTTAAAGATTCGCGAGGTCAACCATCCTGCAGATGCAGCGGAAGTTTCACCGGAAAACGATGTACGGAAAAGTCTGAGTTCTTCTATATCACAGGTGGCATCGCTGGTGGAGTTATCTTAATCATCTTCGTCGTTCTTCTTGTATGGATGATCTGTGTCAGGTTAGTGGGCCACAAAATTATCAACTCTTTCTTTAGATCGAACTATATATTCGTCAATTTCTAACAAATTCATTTCTTCGCCAAATAGGCGAGAAATCTATGAATTTTTCTAGATAATCATTTTTGATAATATGAAATCGATTGGTAAATTTAAACTCAAAATGTACGTGAATTAGCGATTTGAAAATCTGCTGTTGGATATTTGTAAAGAAAAGAATTATAATAACATAATGATAAAAAGAATATAAATTACCTTTCGTAGGAATAATCTGAACCGTAATATTTGCATACTAATACACGATATATGACTATGTCTTAGTAATCTGTATAATAACAATATACAATAATAATATAAATCATTGCTGTATACGAATAATAGCATAAATTGGTGAACGAAACGAGGAATTTTCTGTGACCAGAACAATCTTCCAGAAATATCGAGTAAGAAATAAAATAAATTCTGTCTACAGAGCTTCCAGAAAGAAGGAACCTAAAAAGATGCTAACACCAGCGACAGACCAAAATGGTTCGCAAGTGAACTTCTATTACGGCGCGCCCACGCCGTACGCGGAATCTATCGCGCCGTCCCACCATAGTACCTACGCTCACTATTACGACGATGAGGAGGACGGCTGGGAAATGCCTAACTTTTACAACGAGACCTACATGAAAGGTGAGAATAAAAACGGGACACTGCGAGAAGTACACATTAAGTGTCACAACTTTCACGACTTCTCTCTGCGTCTTCTTTCCAGAGAGTCTGCACAATGGCAAAATGAACAGTCTTGCACGCTCCAATGCCAGTATTTACGGCACGAAAGACGACCTTTACGATAGACTGAAACGTCATGCGTATCCTGGCAAGAAAGGTTGGCATACCATTTCCAAATAAGCCTTCAGTGTCTCCTTCTTTCTTTTTTCGATAATAAAAGAATTTGTAAAAATACTCGTGAAGCGTGTGACTGGACTGTGGATATTTATGCATTCATAATATATCGTAATACGCACAAAGATAACCAAGAATAAGTACAAACGTAAAGATATACGTGTAAAATATCAAAAATAAAATACGTGTTAGAAGATTTAGAATTTAAGAGTGTCGCTTCCTTATCAGTGGCTATAAAAGTATCAATTTGCATAGATAGCTTCGCAGTCTGGTTATCACATTAAGGGTAACTATAGTTTACTAGATTGTAGTACCTATAAGTATCAAGATAACCCGAAGGTTATCATTTTAAGTGATTTTTTAACGGCGGATACGAAATACACTGCTCAAAATGATTGTAGATTCGCTATTACGCGAATGGTTCTACCGAACCGATCAAGCGAGCACAAATATAAAAGGCCTATACGCTTAATATAAATTTCAATTTTTGTTCGTACGATACCGGAATAAAAATTGACTCTAAGACAATCGTTAAAAAAAATAAAACTAAGTAAGTAATTATAATAAAAATCAATCCTCTAACTTTTTTGAGAAGCATATATGTATACCTTCTTACGAAAAAGATAACTACTAGTATCCTTGCAAAGAATTCGACAAATATTCCTTCCATAGGATATTCTTCCATTGAAAGCATCCAAATACCGTGCTATAAACATTTCTCGTATCATTAGAAACAACGGAGGTATGAAAGTAGCCTGTTTCAGCTGGAACACCCTGTATTTATACTTATGTATATAATTGTCCAGATAATGCGGTGGTACCTACGACCGTAACTTTTCTATATCTAAAGGTCAAATTGCGATAGGTCGTTGGGTTCGCCTTCGCGTCATCTGGCGTACTGTATTAAAATAGAAATGACGCTACAGAAAAACATTCCGCGCATCTTCCGCCATTTTCGTTCGTTCTGCCAATCCATCAGGATTCTCATCCTGTGAATCATGATCCCATGAGAATGGCAAGATGTTTTCTGAATGGTCACCGCAGTTATTCTTACAATTAGTTGTAATTATTTTTATAGAATACTCTATAGAATATTAAACGTTAAGTTACTTAAATATTAGTCTAGAATATTACATATAAAAAATTTACTTCTTTGTGCGTTTTCTTTATCCTCTTAAAAATTCCTTCTTATACAAATGTTAAAGGGAAAGGTTGCAGATCATTTTTTTCTATTATGAAAGAATATCACGACACGAAGATATTTAGGAAATAATTTGCTCCAAGATAATAAAAAAAGCGAAACACAGTCGGGCAATATGGTCCGCTCAATTCTTATCCGTTCTATTCTTCCTCAGAGCCAAAACTTTGAAATATCCAGGAAACTAATGAGAAAAAATAGTTCTAACGAGGTGCGCAAATATTTTTCCAGACAAAAGCGACAGCGATAGCGAGGGCCAGTGACCACGACGAGTGACCCGCGTTCTACCATCGTAGAATACAAAGAAGAAAGAAAAGTACATCCTAGTTACGCAGATTTTATAAAGGATGTCCCATCGTCGAGACCAATTTATTTATTATTCCCAGACGAGGATCGTACCGGGGTGGCGCGTTCGAGGAGATTCGTGGTTTCCGGCGTGGAAAAAGAGGTCGATATCGAACCCGCGTGAACCTCTCGAACGCGTGTATTCGCGTCGAACGTGTACAACGATGCAAAGTGACGTTGCGTTGATCGATTTATCCAGAGACGAGATCGAGTCCTGGAACGACGATCCGTCGTCTTTTTTTTTTTCTAAAGTAGGATCGTTGTTTCGGCACCCGTTAACACATCGATCAACGAAATCGAGAGAACGAAACGTTCGCTACGAAAAAGAAAAGACTATTAAGCGTGAGGTTGTAATTTTATGTAATTTATAATACCACCTAGCCTAGTTAAGGACTATTCTCTTTTTTATTTTCTATCGATTAACTTTCCACGTCTTTCTCTCTCTGTCTGTCTCCCACGATTTATAACGAGATGCGAACGAGAGGAGCAAGTGTGTGCATGTATGTTAATACAACTCTCCCCCCTTCTTTCTCTCCCCTTTCAAGTTCACTGTCCCTCTTATACATTAAGCGAATTTATATTTTGTTACTATAGATAATATGTGTATCACTCTCGCTGTAATATAAAAACGTTGCATGTAGGCGACTCGTGCAGATTAACCGGGGAAAGAAAACAATCAAAAAAAAAAAAAAAAGAAAAAATGGAAAAGATGGAACGAACGATCCCAAGAACTGATCGCGAATGTACATTGAACCATGCCTACCAACCTGTTTTTCACTTGTATTGTAAAAACTTTAACAAACGGTTGTTTTTTTTATTAATAAAATATATTACAAGATGCTGTAGTTTTATTATATTTATTCTTTCGTCTGAAGATCGATTTTCGTCGATCGAAGATGACTCTTTAGAATTGAAGATTTTAATAAAATATAGTACGAAGAAATACTGCTTCCTTTTTACTACTTATCCTTTCGTTTGGATTAATTTTTATGGATTGAAACTGGATTTTGTAGTTTAAATATATATTCTGCTAGAATACCGTTTTCTCTTCTGTATTACTTATCCCGCCATTTAGGTGGATTTATATTTATCAAAGTTGGATTTCAATTAATCCAAGCTACTGTTCATTTTTATCATAAAAACCTCGATAAACGGGAACATAATTTTTTGTGAACGTAATTGGAACGGCGAGGGCTAAACAAACTAAAAAAGCAACTAAAAATAAAAAACTAAGGAAAAAACTTATTTCGCTGATCAAAAGTTACAATGAATATCTTAATTTGGATATTACGTTACTGCATACTGTACATTTTTCCACTTTTGAATGTGCTACAATTACGCGAATATCTACAGTCTGTCGATTAATAAAATTTACCATATAAATAAATATTACGATAAGATATTGTTTTTTCTGTTTTTTTTTTTATTATTTATCATTTTGTTTGAATCGACTCTTATTAGTGGAAGTTGTGTATTTTGATTTGAATATTTTTTCGTCCAATCTTAAAGGGATTACTCTGTACATTTTGTCCTCGAACACAAAATCGTTCCAGGCATCTTTACGCGTGTCCGGCTTTAAGTGTTTTCGCGTGTTCCTCGCGTGATCTTCATAGGATTTGCTTAAGCGAAAAATCGTGTCGTAATCACGTCCATTTCCAAAATTCTGTTCGTTTTCATTTGTCTTGTCGTTATCTTTGTTCTCGATATCTGATTCATCGGAGCTGATAATATAGTCCTTGTTTTCGTGGTTTACAGATTCTATCGACAGACAAAACGTAGCAAAATATGACTGGCAAAATTATAGGAAGATGATAATACGTGTATACGAGTTAAACAGGTTCGTGATTCATATACCTTGCTTAGAATTGCCTGTCATCAGTTCCAATAGCAACTGAAAGTATTTTAAGCCACTTATTGTTGTTTCATAATTACGACAATTATCGTGTTACCTTTACGTGGTCTGCGAAATCCGTGGAATCTAATTTATGCATCGCGAGTTATGTTTGTTTTGTTCTAGTTGTATGATTGTCGAGTTAATAGATTAATTACGATGTCTTGTATTCAACTACATTTTTCCCTATTTTTTTGAGAATATTATTTTTCTTGTTTGTTCATTGTGGTTTGGGTTAGTACGTTGGATGGAGGAGTAACGACGAATTGACTGTTTGATCGACAGAATAGTTGTTCGTTGTTTCGATTCCAGTCATTTCGATATAAGTTTAACGCAGGCGTTCCAAAGTGTAAAATTTGGTTATAGGTATTTCGCTATAGTGACAGTTCGTAAGAGGTTGCATCATAATTGTGCTTAATCATTAAACATTGTGATTAATCATTACGTAACTCCTAATGTATTTAAAATGTCCAGAATATTATGTGCATTTAATTTTGAAACAGTTGATTCATTAATTAAATGTGATTAATTACACGTAATTAATTTTATTATATCGCATCGTTTATCTTATATTAATTATACGATCTATGATATAATGTTAAACAAATTTTTAATGTATTTATTTTTAAATTAATGACATAAAAAAAATAAATTATTAATAAACAAAGTGATCATGGTCGTAAATGAAAATGTTGCGTAGTTCCAAATATTATCCATTTTCGTAATCGTATCACGTGGATACGTAACACGTACCATCAACTCCATCTGGTAACACGTTACGTTCTTCGCGGAACTGATTCACTCCAACGATAAAGTTGCTGAATTATTAATGCGGCGTATTCCAAAATAGATTAGTCGCATACCGCAAAAAACAAATACATCACATTTTTATGTAACTGACCTAGTACGTTGTCACGTAACCATTGTTTCAATGTGCTCGAACGAACCTATACTTTTACATCATGCAACAGACCTCACATTATATGTCACTAGAAGAGCGACACAAATATTTACATAAGTAGTGGCTTTCTGCTCGTCTTTATACGCAGTAACATTACTTTCCGCTTCAAACAAACTTCTCGTTCAAAAATAAATCTCAAACCTCCCTAACATGACCATAGAATATGGGAGAATTTTAGTCGTAGGGCGACTTAAGTTACGAGTGTCGAAAAGTGGAAAAATACGATTATCGACTGGAACTTCCCTGGTCCCATATCGAATCTACGTGTCAGATTACTTCCCACTGCAGCGTTTCTTTGCAACGATTGGTCGTTAGTGTGCTCATCTACGCTCAGATTGGTCGAAAGTGACGTGCTCTAGCATCTGACGTTCAACCAGACACCGGATCCGCGGCGCGTTGGTACCGTGACGTGTTTAATCCCGCACTACCGACGTTCCAGCTCGCATTCCGCGAAGAAGATTCGGAGAGGTGTGTCAGTGCGAAGGATCAGTGCTCGAGTTGCGTACGAAATCGTTTGAATTCTCGAATTAACACGTATTCCACAAAGAAATTAGAATTGTCGGTACATAAAATAGTTCTCGCGTTCCAAGTGGAAGGTACAACACCTATTGTTTCAAGGAGGGTGAGTGATATATTTCAACTTATCGTGTTCTGCCTATACGTTAGATCTGGCTGCCGTGTCTATCTGTATTATATAACCATAGATCGAGCTAATTTTGTCATTTATTGAACTGGCAGTACACGAAATTACGCCGCAACTATGTAGCAAACAGTGCGAATCGATCGGACGACGTAGCGCTCGCCTATATACGTCCTAGCTGTTGTGCAAAATATAGTATTCCAGAAAGGTCCCGAGTCATTGTATATCTCGTGTGTATCACGCGACTGATTTCGATCATTTTCTGCGCAAATTCGCTTTTCGCACCGCAACGTAGTACAAACGAATAATGCCGTAACGTGAGCCGGTTTGCGAAAATTTAGTCACATGCGTCGAGACTGCCTGTTACGTAACGAGATTAGTATTAGCAACGTAGAATGGAAGTTTCCTTTCCCTGCGTGTCCTAGAGGTAGAAAAACAACGACGGCATATCGATTCTTATCGACGCCTTTTTTATGGCAATCGATAATCTTGGTATTTTTATTTTCTCATTCTATATATGTGTATCTTGATACACAATTCAAGTATTGACAATCTATAGTAATACATGATATTGTTCATATCAAAACTAACAAATGTTATTTAGTATTCCTCGTAAAAATTGGAAAATTTCGGCTTTTCTTAGATACGATATTGTATATTTTATCTGTTGTTACGTTAGTTACTTCATAATTTTCAATTGAGCATATTTTTTCAATGAACAAATGCTTAATAAAAATAATAATAATAAAAAGTTATTCGAAGTTTAAGGCTATGTTATTACATTGTATGTATATATATTATATACTATATTACAAGTTATCGATTATAGTTCTTGTAGTTTCATAGAATTATATAAAATAATTGATAATTATCAATGTTCATGCCTATCAATATTTTTCCATCTCTTTTCTATTCGATAAGCAACGTATCAAATATCAAAGCGACTCGACGATAAAAATTGACTGTTGCCTACAAATGAAACGCGATTGGCTTGATGTCGGAACGCGTTTGAAAATGTACGATTATCGAATCGCACTCTTTGCTCCGATATTGCGCGAATAACAGTACACTAAACGTTTACTCCGTGGTTTAATAAGTATGTAATCATTGAAAAATCAAAAATCAGATCGCACATGCATGTTTTACATGTACATAAACGTTTGTGTGCGTGTGGCATGTAAACAATGATAGCAAGAGTATTCTCTATGTCTCCATTGACTTTAGAAATGTGTATACTTTTATTATACTTAGTCATCGAATTATATTGCAGTAAAGAAACGTTTAGTTGTAGTTACGTATATATATAATGTGTATTTTATATTTTCATATGTTTTGTTTTTGTACATTATATTAAACTACTAAACTTCTTTGATTTTTTTGCCAACAGACCTGCCCGAATATGGTATACCTGGTTTAAAGATCTTGGTTTAAATGTCTAACTGTGTTTTCAATAAATTCTGTCTGCCGATTGCACAGTGAATTAAGACCCAATGTTGTGTTTAATACATTTCGTATGATTCCCTTAACACATAGGAAATATTATCTTTTCAGCAAAATATTAACTCTGTTATCTTGATAAATTAGATCCTTGTTGGTTTGTAATCACGTTTTATAGATGGAATTGTTGATATTTTTTATCTATGTATTCATAAATTTGGTATCAGAATGTACTGCCTGTTTTATATGATTTAGATGACGTATATTTTGTAGCATAAAAAGCAAAATCATTTGGAGATTGTTCTAATATTAGAAAGGTATTCAATGTATCATTTTTCTATCTGATAGAGTCATAATTCCATTGTATGGGAAGTCCTAATGTATCGTAAATGTGAAAATATTGATCTTTTTCATAGGTATCCAAAATCCCTCCTGTTTACGAACACCCAACAGCCAGCAACATTTCATTTGAGAAAGGAGGCGTGTTTAACGTATGTGTCCTCTTAGGTGTTAACAAGATTCCATTGAAGAACCAAGTGGTGGTAATAAAGTTTTAAAGAAATTATATTCTAGGTAACAAAGCCATGCAATCGTCAGCCGTGCCTGTCATTTGCTTCTCGTGGCGTGAGATCGTGGCCACCAGAGGAAGAGCCTTCACAAATGGATACAGTTCCTTTGTTAACACCGACCATGGAGACAGAATTGTTGAACGAGCCATGGGTGTTCCCACAGCCAAAAACGAATGTAACAAAAGAATCCGAGAAAGAAGCATCCTCCATATGGGAGGAGAACTTTCAAGATTTAAGCGGTTACATGGATCCATTCCAGGGTCAATGCGATTTTCATGCAGGTGAATCACCTACTTTTAAACTATCAGGTCAGTATCTATCTATTACATGAATATCTGCATTAAGAAAGAAATATATGTTACCTTTCATTCTGACATTGCAATTTATAGGTACGAAATACGAGGGTAACAGTGTTTTGTCTTCAGAAGAGGGGGTATTGAAAGATTTGATGAGTGTAACAGATGAAGAAAAGTGGAACGTGAAAATGAGTACCGCGGAGACAACCGAACATTTAAACGACAGTTGTCACAGCCTGCAATCTACATCAAATGTAACTAGCAAATACGAGAGGAAAAATAGTCCAACAGAATCAAACACATCCAACTTGTGGTTAAAAATATCAAAAGGATCAACTAATGTAAATACAAGCAAACAGAATAATACAGATGTTAGTGCACCATTCCAATCCAGATATCATATAGAGGAAATTGATTTGAATGATGCTTGCCCGACTTCATTCGATTCCACCGAGAATCAACGTGAAACATGGGATGTATTACGAACAGTGGAAACCACTGGATCGGATACGTTCGATTTATTGTCGTACCTTTGCGATGTAAGTTGACAGGTGTAATTCAAATCCAAAAAAAGTTAACATCATATAAGTAAAAAAGTAACACTGACTAAGTAAAACAATGTTCAATAAAATATCGTATACGGCTTTGTAGGATGAAATGCATTCTCCGGAAGGTAGCGTTTCAACAGATTCTTCAGTAGCATCGAAATCATGGTCACCCTCTAAATTATCCACAACGATTCCACAAACTAGCGTGAAAGTGAAAACGGAGAAGAACGAGACTATCGTCCCAGAGTGCACAAGAAATCGAACACCATCGTCAACGATAACTTCGTCTTCTTCAGACGCACCAGTAGTATCAACGAGGAGGGCGGAACGTACGAGGATATCAGTTAGCAACAAAATAGAGAAACCTTATAGTCGAGCGCGACGGGAGAGAATAGAGCGAAAACGTTACATAGAGTCAGACTCGGACGATCGAACGTCTGTTTTGCATTATCGAGAGTCCAGGGAGAAGAACAACGAAGCTTCGCGAAAGTCACGTATGAATAAAAAAGCGAAAGAAACTGAGATGGCGAAGAAAGCGGTCGAATTGGAACGGGACAATAGGATATTGAAGATGAAGGTTGAGGAACTTGAAAAACTCGTAACATCGATGCGCAGTGCGTTATTGAGGTCCGCTTTGAAAAAAGAATTCTAAAAAGCGTTTCTTCTACTTGTTTCGAATGATCGTTATGCGGCGGGTATCGCATAAAATTTTTCATTTCTATCATAATTTTTGCCTTTATATATATATATATATATATATATATATATATATATATATATATTTTGTCATATAAGAGAAGAAAGCGCTGCATCATTTTCATTTATTTATAAATCTATATCACTACGACTATTAATGCAATGAATGATTTCAAATTGTATTGTTATATTTAATTCATCTCTTATTTTTTTCTTATCAATCGTTTGAGGCAGATTGTTGTTGAATTCTTTATATACATACATATATAACGTTACTCGAAGGAAAGGTGTATATATTAACATCTTATGTAAATGTTTGTTGCACAATATGTTTGTGTTTGTTCTGTTTTTGTTCAAAGACATCCTATTTACAATGTTTTATAATGCTTATAACGAAATCTACGTTCATATAATTGAAATGAACAAACGAAAAAAAAAAGATAAAGAGGCAGAAGTGGAGTAAAATCTAAAATAGTATCTCTTTTGCCAAAAAAAAAAAAAAATGAAAAAAGATTACATAATCATATTTTGTTCAGCCTTGTATTGTACCTGATAAAAAGTATAAATATGGAGGTTAGAACAAGATAAATTATGATCGGTAAGAATATAATTTTTCTACTGGCGTGGGCACAATAGTAGCATGATGTACAATTGATATTCGAATAAAGAACATGCTTGTCAGAATCTACCTCGTAGTGAAGAGAATTATTTTTGTAGACACTCATTGTATAATTAACTTAACTTGTCGGATAACAAAGGCATTTATCTAAATTCAATAATTCCTGTAAGTTCTGTTTGTAAAGAAATTTTAATATCCATAGCGATATTGCATACACTTATCACAATATTACGAAGATGTTACTCTATTATTAAGCAATGTAATACAAATCAATCACTCAGAATTGTTTTTTCGTTCCTTCAGACTATGCTGTAGTGAATATTGAAAATTCTTGTACGTGTATGGAAATAAAAAAAGAATCGTACGGGTAATAATTTTTGCATCTAGATTACTATCTAAGCTATATTAATATAGAAGGTCTTATTTCAAAATAATTGAGAACGTTATTGGAATTTTCCTAACCAGTGAAATGTCGATATCTTATTTTTATTAAACTTATATTTTATCTTTACACAGAATATTATAAATCTAATAAAATGTATATTTTTATATCTTATTTTGTTTTATGTTTGCATGTTACATATTAAATATTAAGCTGTGAAAAACATCTATATTATTGTTTATATTATGAAATATGTATACAACTCGAATTCAACATCCTAAATGTGTAAAGAATTTGTTAATAAATGTAAGTATATCCTCCGAAAAATAATACTATTTTCATTAACCTAAATTAAATACACATGAATTTATTACTATATATATAAATTCATTTTGTTTTTATAAAAATATTTTCTTAAATTCATAGTTTCAATTTGAGTATTTAGACATTCAACGGAAACTTAAATTTTGTTTGTTGTACTTGGTAAATTTTGGTGTATTGCAACTTTTGAATTTTTAAATGTTCCCGCCATGTGCGTGAACGTCACATTGGGATCCATGTTGAAGTCGATACCAGCGTGAATACGAGTATTTTTACAACATAAATTGCAATCACTAACTACATTTTAAATAGAATTTTAATAATACACCACTAAACAGGTTCCCGATAATAAACATTAACCGGAAAATTAAGCATTGTTTATTAGGTTAATACGATCGGATACTTCACTACCCGTGTCTTAACTTTTCGAAATGTTACATTACATATCACGATACTCGAGTCTCGTTAATCTTAAAGATATAACAATATACTTACAGTTACTGGAATATGCTCGAAATATCCCTGTTCTGTAATAATTCTATCAAAATATGGTGCAGTATTGTCCAAGGAGATCTTATCCGCCATTCCATCAATCCATCCCTTTCCAAAAATTTTCTTCCTTTAGTCACTTCCCAAACACTCAACACTCCACACAATTTTCCACTGCCGAATGAATCGTTTCGAATCTGACCCAAACCACACTGCACACGCAAAGCACAATTATCAAACATTATCGCGACGCACGTAAGCCGGTGGAACCCGATTTCAAACTACTGGCCGCCATGACGGAGCGGGAAAAGGAACGGTTGCGCGCGCATCGTTCTCTGTGCGGCGTGCTACGAGAGTTCAGTACGCTGCTAACAGGTGGTCCGCGTTGATTGGTTAACGAACAGAACAAGCGAGGGTTCGGCCGGGCAGCACGTGCGACCGATCGCGCATTTACGCGGAGAACGTGAACGCGCGTGTATCGTTCCGTCTTTGGTTTATACGAAAGTCGACTTTACCGATCGAAGGTCAGGTCATCCGTGTTTGGCGGCGAGCTTACGGCGAAGAGCTTGCTTTCGTGTAACCTATTGGTGGCCCGATACGTTCATAGGTGTACGGGTGTTGGCTATCGATCCCGCTGTCCCGATTTCCTGCATGTTCATTGGCGCCTTGGTTGCGAACAGTGCATCGTATGGTACAGTGCGGGTTCCGTTCGATCAGTGCTGTGGCCTTTCTGTTACGCTCAAGATATTTGTGTAATTTTACTCGTTCCATCGGGGTGATTTTTCCTTGTACCAACGGGAATTCGCGGTTCTCCAGCTTTTCTTCGGTAAGTATTAGCTCGTATGTTATATATCTTCTGCAAATGGATTGTTTATCGAGATACAAATATACTTGTAATTGAGTGCACGTGTACGCGCGTGCAAGTCGGTCACATTGAGCCGGTACTTCGTTCCATCTGGTGCATTTCGATTGCATCGAGTGGGTGTATTAGTAGGCGAAGGGGTAATCCTCTTGACGATTTGTGTAGAAATTACTCACAACTAAGGACGATTGTACTATTTTCGTCGAATTTGTTTGTGTATCAGTCTGAACAACCACTTGTCGCGCCAATCCAGCTGTAACTCTATCTTCATTTAATACTTTCGTATTTATTTTTCCAATTGCGTTCTATTTATGGCACTAGCTGAACAGAGTTTATGTATGTTAACATATAGACAATTTATCGATTTTAGAATATATTGTTGTAAGGCCAATTGGAGAGATTTGTTCATTTTACTTAGTGATACATATATCGCGTACGTTTTGTGCCGATATAATATATGTTTAGATACATTTTTAACATTTGTAACAATATAGTTCAGAATAAAATATGATGCTGATAGTCATTTTTCATTGAAATGACGGAAGAAACGTATGTATGTCTTGTTCAATTTATCTTTTGTTAGTTAATTATTTTTAAAAACAAACATAACCTTAGTTGAATCTCTTTAGTGTTAAAAAAAAGGATATAATCGATATGTTTGCCAATTTCGTGTTGTCAAATTATAAAATTTCTGTTTTAAACATCACCATACTTCGATTGAATATTAAATTTTAAAACATATTTTTATTTTCATGCATTTTGTGAAAGTTATACGAGTTATAAAACGATCGTTATTTTATTGTTTGGGCGTTGTGTGTTTTATGTGTGCTTGAGTTTAAAAGTGTTATTCCCAATTCGCACGGTCGGCCATGTGTTAATGTCTTTGAAATATTTTCTCATGTTAAGGACGGTTATAATGGAAATAGAGTTCACGAGAGGATAGAGAGTGCGACATGGTGGTGTTTAATGGGAATGTGAAACTAAACGTTAATGATAATACCGGGTGCGTTATGTGGAAGCTGAATGCGGGTAGGAGGGGAGCGTTTGATTCGGTTTAAAAGCATTGTATCGCGTTGAAGGGCGGTTCACACAACCGGCATTGCGTTAACGTTGATAAAACAGTTGCCGATGCTTTTTTCAAAACGTTATCTCGTATGTTGCTCAAATATTTGTATACAAAGAGGCAGTCGAATCTCTCACGTATATGCCAATCTGTTTTGCAATATCGTAAAACGAAACGCGACAATTTCATCATGATACAAATTCTACTTCGAGCATGACCTTTTCATCAGACGAGAGTAGCAGACGGATAGCTATTAAACGTTAATAAACCTCCTATAACATCATATGAATTGATAGTTACGTATGTATTATATACATATACTTTTTAACCCTCTAGATACATATATACTTTCATTTGTTAATTTTCTGCATATGTATACATACTATATAATTTTTTAATCGTCTACTTACATACATTAACGTATCAATAGTATTAGAACACCTGTTTATATTTATTACAAATTGAATACTATTTATTGCTTTCGTTTTTCAGTTATTTGTAAAAGACTAAATAAGTATCTAAGAGTTTTTCAATAAAAATAGTAATGGGTAGTGTTCTGAACGTTTGTAGAACTATCAGCTTTCGGCAGAAAAAATTACTAGTTATTAGTAAACATAAAGATTACTTAGAAAGTTATGAAAATTAGCAAATGTACAACTTCGAGCGGCTAAGTTTAATTCTCGAAACTTTGTTATCATTTCAATTAACCATCGTGTAAGTTGGAGTAGAAAAATTGTATGAACTTTCTGTTAGAAGAAAATCAATAACATTCAAAAATGTATAATCTTTACTAAATGTTTCGAATCGTTTCAATCTCCAAAGAAATGAGGATTTTATGTTTGCCTCGTAGTTATAAAAATGCGAGTAAAAAATTTAACGACATAGTATTTCGTTCAAACGATAATCAAAGGTGTATCTATCATACTCTACGCTCGTGTTCCGGAAAAAATGTTACCGCTCGTTATCTCGATCCTGCTATCGATCAAAGATACGTACATATGTACATAACACGTAAGTACCTGTTCAATAAATTATTTTCGTTAAAATAATTAAAAGGTACATAGCGAAAACCACTTATGTCCATGTTTGCCTTTTTTACAGGAGTAAAATAATACATGTTAAATATTTTAAATGAAATAACCATTATATTGCGGTAATTGTTAAAGTTCAACTCTGGTTCCTTTCCTTTTAGAGAGATACTAATTATCGATAATGCGAATGAAAAGCTACGATGGTCGGAAGTGACAAAAAAAAATGTTCGTTATCGACGGCATTTAGTGATAACCAAAAAATGTTTTCATAGCCAATAATATTCGTAACGCAAATTAACTATAACATATGAATTCTTATTTACTGTAACTTTTTTTTATATAAACAGATATTTTTTTGTATTTTTGTTGCATATTAACGATTCCACTATGTTGCGATTACTAGGGTGAATCCCACTATATGAAAAGACCGAAATTTGGACTGTTCTAGTTACGAGCCATCGCTCGATACATTTTCACGTTAAAGTTTCGCGAACCTGTTTTTATGTTCAACTGTGTTTCCTTGAAATATACCGGTTCTGTTTGATATCGGTGATCATGTGGAACTCTTCCCAGTTGAGTAAAAGGTCGGACACGATTAATACGAGGCTGATGATTGGTTTCAAATTTATTGGCGGGACAGAGATAAAGTAAGGCGGATCGGTTGAACGATCGAAGAAGAGTCCAACATACATACCGTTTAAAAGTTTGTTATACGATCGTTTTTTTTAACGCACATTTAGTAACGTGTGCTAAGGAAGAACAACAGACCTCGCTAATGTACCCGCAGCTGCTGATAATTGTCGGAATTGTGTAAACATAGCGCGCTATGCCACAGCGAGCACTCGTTGGGAGTTTACCGTTCGGAAATTTTGTTTCATTTCCTGGAAACTCTTCTTCTTCGTGAAATCTAGATTGTTGTCGATAGTGTAATTTTGAGCGTGATTGTTTTCATGGCTTCTTCTTTCCTCTGTTGTGTCGTTAGTTTTGTTAAATTGCAGATAATTTATTTTTTACATTTTCATCTTCATAATGAATATATATGAATGAATATATATTACATAGATGACATTAATAAAATTTCAATGAAATAGTTAATTGAGAATATGCGGAATGATACATTTTTACCGTATTTGCATCGCTATACTATGACTCTTATACGAAAGAAAACTGATTAGCGTTGACTAAAATTGAAAATTATCGCTCAACAGGATTTTGAGTAACAGTACTCTGTGTAGAATATGAGTCAAAGGAACTACAGTGGGAACTCTATGGAAATTTCCTTCCTTCTTTCTTTTACAACCATGGCCGTAATTCCTTTCGTTCTCATGCCTCTTTTATTCGGTAGAACGATATACTTAACTCGATACTTAACCCTGTTAACGACTGCAATTACGAATTTGTAATGTGATAACCGACAATTAGTATCACGAAGGCTAGAAGGACTAAAAGAGAGGTAAAAGAAGGTTTAAAAAATCGAAATCAAGATCGAAATCAAAATTTCGAAATAAATATATAAATGAAGCTTCCACGAGTCTCTTTTAAAAGTAAAGCAAAGATACTCTTTTGTCTTTGAAGAAATTCTCCATTGTTTTCCAAGCGAACGCATCGCAGTTCATTTCGCAACGCGTTCGATTCTCCTTCCCTCCGCGAGAACACTATACATATATACATATGTACTTAACTCATACAGACAGGTCCATTGATCTCGTTACAGTATACAAGCTCTGGTACAGTCGTTGCATCGTGTTGCACTGATAGAATAATAGAATATATTAAATATCAAATCGTGTTCGCAAACGTTACGATTCACATTCAACCGATTTGCACTTCTCCATGTCATAGAGACACGAGTGAAAACAATAGTTCGTTCAATTTCTCTGATTTTTCTTCGACGTCGCTATAAAAATATAATTATTTCTACTCGAATTTATAATATATGCAACTGCTGACGAAAATATTCGAACATTTGTAGAAACATTTTACGAATATATTATATATTATACGAAACATTTTCACGCTTCATTACAAAACGAAATTCAATGAAATATAAAATTTCGAGTGTAAGTTTTCTATGCTAAGTGTTCAAATATTTTTCCCAGCTACTATCATTATTTTAAAACTAGCATTAGTTTGCTAGCGTAGAAATTCTTCGCGTTGTCATTGACCTATATAGAGGTAAAGGAAAAAAGAGGAAAACGTAGGAATAAAATTAACGACCGTTCGAAATTACCAATGGTACTTGCCATACTTAATTGGGATCGAATATAGTTCGATCATTCTATATTGATTATGCGGAAGACAAGATAACGCCAATCACAGAAACACGCTTATAAATAGACCGCGAATGCTTGTATTTATGGGAAATCTAATAAAGCAAAACTGTAAAATAATTTTTCAAACGAGAAATGCAGTCCCATTTTCAATAGAATTCTGTATTCCTATCGGTTCCAGCAATATTAGAAAAATGATTTAAGACGTATTATCGAATTAGTTTCGGAAAGATTTAGTGGTTTACTATATCGTAATAGTATTTTAAAGTTATAAAATATTTATTTCTATATATTTATCTCATCAACTTGAGGTAACCGTCTATCATAATCTTTCCATCAGTCTAAAAGAATCTGAGTCACAGTTTAGAAATCAAAAGTCAAACAATCCAAAGATAAAGAGTTTCTCATGTGATAGAACAGACTGTACAAGAAGTGAGAATTCCGAAATGTTCACTTTCCTACTGCTTCGCGTCGCAATATTCTACAGCAGGACTTCGGCTACCTGAATTCTGCGCAGGATAACCAATTTATATAGAGCGCCTTGGTAATCGTGTAAACTATTGGCAAGGCTGTGACTTTATATAAGAGGAAGGCATACGTAAAAAAATAAATATAGAATAATCGTTTCCGAGAAACTTCTTATTAAAAAAGAATGCCTAATACAAATAGAAAGTTCTATTCAATAAAATAAACAATTATTATTCTACATTTTTTACTTATTTTTTCGCGTGGAATCGTTTCCTCGATAATCGTGTCACGATCGCTAAAACGTTCTGTATAAGAAATTTATTTTCTCCAATTAAAGATAGTAGTTCAATTAAACTATCTAATTAAATGATATCAGATCAAAAGTAAGATAAAGCATGTAAATATTTTTGAATGCTACTGTACACCGATCGTTCAACCTTCTCGAACGTTTTGCCTTCAGAAAGTGTCGGTCTGCCGGTATCCTTGGAAGACAATGAATCCTCGAGGAGAGATCGTGTCCGTATTCTTCTGATATTCTTTATCCTCCATGGGCAGACTATACGGCAATTCATTGACTGGCAACGGCACGACACTAGGAACGATCGAGCAAGCTTAGGATCATGGAATTCTACGACGTGGGAAGCAGCGATCTCAGGGAACTGTGGGAGTCCTATCTCTCCGAACCGGTAAGTACATCGTCGTTTATTTTGCCTCATTTTCTCTCTATTGCTTCTGATTGTTATTCATAATTTGCGTGCATAACGGGTATACAATTTATACACAGGTATCTAACAACCTTATAGAGCGAAAATCTGTACCGTATTATACGTAGAGTAGATTATACGACAATAAAATATTATTTGACGAATACCAACAAAATAATAGATACAAAATAATAGATACAATAATAGATACAATGAAATCTAACTTTTAATATATTTATGTAATAGAGGTTCGAACGCAGGGGGTTGTACTGTATCGAAGATGAAAGAAAATTCGTATAAACTTTAAAGTTAGCCAATTTTCGTCTTCACTGCCATATACAAAAATGTCCTGATTTTCTTTCATTTGATAACAGGGCAGCCCTGGTGACCGATATTTTTTCGTCAATAAATCGTATATCACAATTAGGTTTGGAAGATCGTCCTCCTACTAAGTTCGCTTTATTGTACATCGCAGTTTCCCTTTAATTTTCCGACATTGTTCTACCAAAAATTCTTATACTTCTCGTACGAAAACCGTGTTTGCAAAGTATGTGTGCCAGGAACGTTACCTGTACTCGCACGAGGATGGATATAGTCCATTTCTCTCACGCGTTGAATCCTCGCGATACGAGAAAGTTTTCGATAGGTAAACGAACGAGAGGAAACGAATGTCGAAGAAAAATAGGTAAGACGCCTGTTTCGTATTTCTGCTTCCTGCTTCTGCTGACAGATTGCATTGCCAAAGCTTGTTAACGTGTAATTAGTTTGCCGCGGTTCCTGTAGATGAACAATAGAGATTGAATCGAGGTATTTCACTTCTTACGTTTTCTGGAGGCGGTCGCAAGTATCTTTGGTATTGATTCGTTGGGCGTAATGGACGTTTTAGAAGAGGAAGTCGTTGGGTTAGGTTATCCGTGGCAAAGTATGTTGGCTAATTTCAATTGAGGAAATTAAAGTGGATGATATTGACTCTTTGCGATGGTTATTTGAACGTCCAGTTATTTTGTATTAGGTAAAGATTGCGAATTTCCAAATTCTTTAATTTAATTCTCAAAACTTGGAATTCTTCAGTATTTAAATTTTCATACTCCCTAATGTCGCAATTTAAAAACTGTAGGATTTTAGAATTAAAAAGTTTTGAAATATAAGAATATCGGAATATTGAAATTTATGAATATTCAAATTCCGAAAAGTTAGGACTTGAAAATTTTGATGCCTTCGATCAAATTTTGTGAAATCGCGAAAGTTTTAATTCTACGATTTTCGAATTATTCAAATATTCAACTTTTTGAATTTGCGGCCTTTCAAACTTTTCAATTATTTTCCGATATTAGACGCTTCTTAATTAAACCTGACATTTAAAGCCCTGTAAATCGTTTAAGACCCATCCAATAAGCGTTTTAATATTATGTTTCAACTCGGCAACTGTTTAGCTTCTTAATTAATTTATACCGGCTATTTTTACCTTCAAGAGTGGAACTTACGTAATTGTAATGGAATATCTCGTCGTAATTATTTTACGAAACTCAAGTTTCCACGGAGGAAAAGAAGAGCTGTTTCGTTACGGTTCGGTTACTCTTCGTACACATGATGATAAAAATATTTTTAAATCTACATCGAGTATTCATTTTATAATATCGTTCAACGAGAAATGTTTAATGTTGGAGTGTAAAAGGCTGCACATATTAGTGTCAGTTTATTCACCTGTATAAACAGCTTGTCGCACCTTACGCTCCCACATTTACATTTTTCAGTGCCGGGGGAAGCGAAAGAATTACATTTCGATTACGTCGTTAAACATTTTATCGTTATTTTAAAAATTTATAATTATATAAACTACCGATATTTTTGATAAAATTATGACTTACGTATAGATTTCAGCGAAGGAGTTTCAATTCCAGGTAGATGGAACATTGAACATTGAACGTTGATCTACTTAAAAAAAGAGTTCGGGACAGGAGAATGTTCGAAAGAAGCTGAAATTTATGCCACGAGTTTACCACACTATCGATTCATATTTATCACGAACAAGCGCTATAACAGTAAAATGTTGATCGAAAATAAAGAATTGGGTATTATATGGACAACAACAATTTGCAACAGAAAACGGTAGACAGAAATTTATTTACGTCATAAATTTAAAGCCTCATTCATAATTGTCACCGTTTCCAATTTCCAAATCCATTCAGAAAATATTTCAAAATCGAGAGAATTAAATCAGGGAATGTGCGGTAATCGTCGAGTTAATATTTACACGAACGTTTATTTGTCCAATACAATCCATCCTGATTCGCATGGTTACGTCATTTGCATCGTGTTTACAGCTATATTAGTCACTGACCGCCTTCTCGACGCCTCTTCTTCCCTCACCGACCAATTATATTATCGTTTGCTAATTACTCTTTGACAGGATCCGATGAAATTTACCTTCTTATCGAATATTCATCGCATAATTTCCTTTCCACTTGACCTGGTGCCTCCTTACTACCAACCTTCCTTAACGATCATGCTCCTTCGAGCATGGAATCTTTATTAACGACATGGTTATGCGTGAATTTGCTATCGTAGTAAATGATTTTTAATTTGTTAACCCATCAAGAACCAAGCTATAGTTTATCATAATCCTATACGGTAGTTACGAGAAGTATTTGAATATTATTGCTATTCGTTATTGCGTGTATCATATATTGATCAATTGGCTTCAAGTATATTAAATTTCGTATTATTTAAGAGTATGAGTATAAAAATTTAATTCTATGAAAATGAAATGTACGTAGAACGCGATCAAAATATATTTCATTCGGAAGAAGGCAAAGTGTAAATACTTTTTGTGGTCAATGCTAATGCAAGCGCACATCTTTCAGAGATCATCGAAATATTGAAACAGTCGATTGTACATTGTATCAGTAAGTCTTTATTCTCAGTGTGACGATGTTTAACACTTATCATACGTTTAAAATCAGCTATTCGTGCTGTATACTAATTTTTCATCAAATATGTACATTTGCAGTAAACGTTTTCCAACTTCTGCGTACGATACGATTTTAGATCGAATTGAAATTTTACGAATATAATCGCGATAGTCGTGTCTCATGCAGCGCTAATGAAATTTCAAAATGTTTTATGTAACACGCTTATACCAGACAGTCGAGTATATACGTGACATACGTGACTATTTTTATAGTAAGTGTTCAAATACTTGCACGAGTTACTATAAGGAATATTTGCAACAGAGTTAAAATTTTTTAATATTATACAGGCTCAAAGAAAAACAAATTCGTTATATATATATATTTTTTTTAATGAAAGGTAAACGAGAATTTACGTATTCGTATATTACGTTATATCGAATAGCCAAAGTGTGTCACATTGTTATCTCGAATTATGTTTCTTTCCATTTTTAACGAGCAAAAGATCTTTTTAATACTAAGACTTTAGTTTAGTTTAATTAAGAGCGATTACGAAGATACTGTCAGTGTGGTGCACTGTACGTAACAGTGCACCATCTACGTGTTCTCTCTGACGGAAAAGACAAAGATTTGCCTCTTGTCTTTCGTTACGCAATAAAGAAAAATCGCGATAACGTTAGGTGAAACGATGGAACAAGGTGTCGTAAAAAATGTCTGTAAAAATAACCGATCGTGTCTGCGAATTCTGGATCGCTGGGTTAACGAGTGTCTGTTTTTACATAGATTCTTATAAAATAATATATACATAGTTGGTTGAAAGAACGGGTTTTGAATCGTTCTAACGGAAGTTTAGAGGCATATAGTAGCTATTAAAAGCAGTAAAAAATGTTTAATTACTACTACCGAAGAAGATATACAGTAGCAGGTGTATACTTAGCGAATTTTATTATGAAAAGTTCTAATTTAATTCTTTTCTTTTTCTCTATGATATACGGTTTATAGAATTTATATATAAATACGATAATATATGGTTTTTGGGTCTTTTTGTAGCTTGAAGTATTACAAACGTAGGAAAGCCATTCTGTTTGTAATTATTACTGGAGATAAAAACTTGAAAGCAAAACCAAATCGAAAGAATTTGATACAAAGACCTTATCTTATGTATTTAAATCCCCGTCATTCGAAGTACTTTATTTTGTCTAAATTTTGTTTTCTACGTGTTAATGCAAGGCATAGCAAGCGATCGTAAATTGATTTAATATAGGTCAGGAATCGTTTCCCTGTTACTTGTATAAAAACTTGTCCGAAGATTAATGCCTGGATTTATCGTAACGATCAATTTGGATCAAGAACATTTATTGGACTTACTCGATGCAAAGCCATCTCCGGCTATTGCAGCTACAATTTTCCTGAATTTATTGTATTTTGAGATTTTGAAGTTTGATATATAAAGTACGAGTTACATTGGAATTTATCTATGAATTAAATTTCGCCAACAGACCATTCTCGGTTTTTTCGTCTCGTCTTTTCCTTTGTTGCGCGGAACAACAGACGCAGGTTTTCCCCGCGGTGGTCACCGTTAAGTTTAACGACTCGGTTCGCTGGAAAGCGTAGTAGTATACGCCTCTACAGTACCGTCTGAGAGATGACGTAATTGAGTAAAAGGGGATTGACCCCCTCCCCCAAATATGACGAGCCATCGCGGAGGCACAGATTGCCTTTCAATTTCTATTACGGACAGAGATTTGTTAGGAAGAAGGTTTGGTTGGCAACCGAGCCGATACGAAGCTTTTCGCCTTGACCATATGCGCGTTTATTTCTTGCAATCACTTTTTATGTCTGCGTTTGTCCTTTTTATACACTGCGACATTGAAGGTGAGATTGTGGCACTGCATGTGGGAAAAACGCTAGGAGAAGTTGATCTCATGAACGTATCTTTAAATATCGTTGATAATTGATATTATTAAATGTTATTGTTCGTTGTTATTATATCTTATTCTTAATATTATATAAAAATGCATGCGGTTAAGACGTTAAATGCACGAGGAATATAAGTTAGTAGTGCATATTATA